TGAGTCTCGCTAATTGGGCGGTGACTCTCAAAAGAGTCCGTAAAGACTGGGCGTTGCAGCGCGTGATGTTAGTATTGGGTTGGCAGGAAAGTAATTTCGGTATTTCAATGTGAAATAAAACTCAATTTTTTCAATACAAGAAATGAACTTTGATCAGTCAAATATTTTCCATTCTGTTCGATAACCCTTTGTCATCTTTCTGGTAACTTCATAATTCCGCGATCATTCCTTCTGGTCCTTATCAGTAAAAAATTCAGTCAAGTTCGAATTGAGGCTATCGTTATTATTGAAACTTTTACCATTTAAAAAGTTTTATAAACTTCGAAATAAATAATAACTCATTGGTACAAGGTTAGGGCTATATGCAAGATGCGACATCACTTCTCAACCAAGCCCTAATTATTTTGTACGCGTTGTTAAATATGTATGAGGTCTCGCATTGTCGTGGTGGAATACGATTCTTTTGCGATTTGTCAATTCTGGCCTTTTCTCTTTGAATGCTTCCTACAATTGCATAACTTGTTGGCAGTAAATATCTGAGTTGATTGTTTGGTTGCTTGGAAGCAACTCAAAATACATAGCACCTTTATAGTCCCACCAAATTGACAACATGATCTTTTTCTGATGTAATTCAGCTTTCGATATGATTTGTGCTGGTTCATTACGCTTGGACCATAACTATTTTCGATTAATATTTTTGTAAACGGTCCATTTTTCGTCATCAGTATTAATTCATTTTCAAAAATTGCATTACGTTTAATATGCGTATCGCAAAAACCAATTGGTTGTGATAAGTGAATTTTTTTCAATTCATGCGGAACCAAAACATCGTGCTTCTTAACAAGTCCAAGACATCTTATGTGATATTCAATTGTTGTGTGTAATGCATTTAACCTTTTTGCAATCTCTCGTGCAGTTATATGCTTTGATTTTATAATCATCACCTTCAGAAGGTCGACCAGAACGTTGGTCATATTTAAATGAAAAATCTTCAGAACGAAATTTTTTAAACCGATTCTGACATATGCGTTCTGTTAAGCAATCGACGCCATAAACTTCATATATCTCTTCGTGAACCTCGGCCACTTTCTTGCCTTTATGAAAAAGTAAAATATGTCGAAAATGTTCACGTTTTTGCACTCCATGTTGATATTGACAACAAACTATCAGTTGTAAACAAAACTACACGTAATTTGTTTCTATAGTAACCTAAACGTGTTAACTACCAAAGCTAAAGACAAAAAAATGATAACCTTAACAAAAGAATAACAATGCAAGCATAACGCTATCTATTGGTGCAAACCGAAATTACTTTCTTGCCAACCCAATATAAGTGAACCCTTTATCGTCTATGCCCTTTCGGTTAGTTTAAGAATTCCTGTTCGTTCCGCGGCCAATGTAATTCTGATACATTTTAAAGATTTCGGAAATTCTTGAATCGTTGGCGGTTGCATCTTCAACCTTCTCGGCGACAGTCCTCGTACTCCCTTCCGTCGTCTCCAACTCGACAATACGATTATGCAGGGTGTATACAAATGATATGTCACGACCACTATAGCGTTATTATATACCTTTGGATTGGTGGTGATCTACTAAAAAGATAGACCACAAAATTGTCCTTGACCTTAAAAATCAAGGTCAAGGGTCAATTCTTTTTTATTGCAACATATTACTACGACTTGTCCAAAATCAAGTCGCTGTAATGTGAAACTGCCCTGTTGTTGTAAACAACTCCTTAAAGAATAATCGAAGATAGGGATTACCACGGAAGAATGTTACCAACGGACAATCGAAGAGTCGAGATCGGACCGTCGAACGATCAACATCCTACTTCTGAAAGATCTAAGATATAATTATATCGAATTGTGTTATAGTTAATATTCTTTATTGTAAATAAAATGCCGCGACGCGAGAGAAATGCAGTAATTCGCAATATTGGGGGCTCGTCCGGGATCGAAGAATCGATCGGAAATGTGACACCGGCATTGGAGATCCTGTTTGCAAATCTCCGACAAGAATTATGCGAGTAACTGCAGGAGCAGCAGAGGCAGTTCGAGGCGCGACTGGAAGCAGACAAGCTTCAGCGCGAGGAACGGGAACAGGCTGCTGCGTCCGAACGAGAGGCTCGCATGGAAGAGAGGATAGCAAGGATCGAGAACCAATGCCAGGTGCTGTCGGATTCATTGCGAAATTCTGTCTTAAATTCTGCGGCATTCTCGTCGGTGGAACACTCGGAGGCGCGTGTAAATAGTTCGGACACTGTTGTAAATAATGTTAATAGTGTACATATCGTGAGTGTGCCTATTGCTCCGTGTGCTCCTGTATTTGCTTCACAGTCGGTGCCATCGTTGCCTGCGTGTCGTGAATCTACACGCTCCGTAACTGGATTAGGATATTCTGTGAAGCCGACACGTTACGACGATTCCACGTCATGGGATGAGTACCGAATTCAATTTGAAATGGTCGCGAATGTAAATGGCAGGAACGAAGCAAAGAAAGCTGCGGCTTTAATTGCTTCGTTNTGTGAAGCCGACACGTTACGACGATTCCACGTCATGGGATGAGTACCGAATTCAATTTGAAATGGTCGCGAATGTAAATGGCAGGAACGAAGCAAAGAAAGCTGCGGCTTTAATTCCTTCGTTGGATGGTCCGGCTCGAGGAGTACTGACTTCTCTTCCCGCCGATAAGTATTTCGACTTCCAAGAAATAGTTTCGGCAATCGAGTTTTGTTTTGATCGAAAAAATGTGACGTAGTATGTCTCAAGATAGATACCGGTGACTGTCTTCCCATAAAACAGACACCCCGATGATTACCTCTTCATCGACGTTCAGAAGTACATGAATTATTGTCGAAAATGGAACGACAAAGAGTCATAGAAAAGTCTCAAAGCCCCTGGTCTTCACCCGTGGTATTGGTCAAGAAGAAAGACGGGTCCGCCAGATTTTGCGTGGATTACAGGCGTCTGAACAATATCACCAAGAAAGATTCGTACCCCCTTCCAAGGATAGAAGATACGCTGGACGCTTTGGATGGCTCCTGTTGGTTCTCGACGATCGACTTACAAAGTGGATATTGGCAGATATCCATGGATCCTGTACATAAGGAAAAGACTGCCTTTTGTGTGGGTACTGGATTATGGCAGTTCAAAGTCATGCCATTTGGTCTTTGTAACGCACCAGCTACCTTTGAACGTCTAATGGACAACATCTTAAGAGGGTTAAACTGGAAGATTTGTTTGGTATACCTCGATGACATCATAATTTTCGGTAGAAGTTTTGAAGAGGAAGTACAACGTCTGCGGAAGGTACTTGCTTGCCTAAGGAAAGCTTGCTTGCTGATGAGCCCGAAGAAGTGTAATTTCTTCTGCAAAGAAGTGAAATATCTTGGACACGTAGTATCCGAGATGGGTGTACAAACTGATCCTGAAAAATTGGATGCAGTAAAGAATTGGCCGGTGCCGAAGAATAAGACCGAGTTGAAGAGTTTCCTGGGTCTTTGCACTTATTATCGGAAGTTTGTTAAAAATTTCGCCGATATTGCGAAGCCCTTACATCGTTTGACCGAGAACGAGAAAATATTCGTGTGGACGGAAGAGGCGGAACATTCGTTCGAGGAATTAAAAAGGAAATTGATGGATGCCTCAAATTTTGCAATCGGAGCAGTTCTTTCTCAAATTCAGCAAGGTCGGGAGAGAGTAATCACCTATTTCTCCAAGACGCTAGGAAAAGCTGAGAAGAATTATTGCGTTACTCGGAAGGTATTATAATATTTAGTGAAATCTATTGAACATTTTCATCATTACCTTTATGGGCGTAGATTCCTTCTGAGGACCGATCACGCTGCTTTACGTTGGTTGCTGTCTTTCAAGAATCCGGAAGGACAGGTAGCACGTTGGATCGAGCGGATTCAGGGATATGACTTTGAGGTGAAACACCGGGAAGGAAGACTCCATCAGAACGCGGACGGTCTTTCTCGCAGGCCTTGCGAATCGCAGGATTGTGCGCGATGCAAGCGCCTGGAGGAGAAGACGGAAGAAAATGGAGACGTAGTTCTGCGGACACTCTGCGAAACATTTGATTTTGAAGAGTGGAGGAGAAAAACAGGAGGGGGATGAAAAAATGGTTTCATCCTGTCAAGAAAAAAAGGAGGGTAGGAGGCCCGATTGGCAGGAGATTTCGGACAGAAATACAAGAATTAAATATCTCGTATCAATCTGGGATTCCTTGGAAGTGTACGAGGATCTACTGTTT